ACACACACAGTTTTCCATTTTAACATTGTTTTTTTGTTTGGAACTGAAAAACAGTGTAATATTTGAAATAAAAATTTAAGCTATTTGCAAGTTATGATACTCAACTTGTAGCACCTTGTTAGTATTTATAGAATTATTTATATTTCATCAAATAATAGGTCCCTGCTCATATACATACTATATAGTCATTACAAACACAAATGCACTCTTTTATATAATATTTTTAACTTGTTTTTTTTATCAGCCAAGGAATATTTATCCAGAGCCCACTGATAAACTAGAAATATCAAGATGTAGAAAGTATAATTCCTGTCCTCATAAAGCTCTTATTAATTTGGGGAAATACATACATACACTTAAAAAGCTGAGGCCTGTAATACCCTTATTTAGGGTGAGGAAGCCGTCCATATAGGAAGAGAGTGACGAAGTTACTCTGGGTGTCAGATGGGCAGGGATCACAGAAGACTTTCCCAGAGGGACTCCATGAACATCACAGGTTTAATTATTCAAAAAGTTAAATGGATATGCATACAACGATATAAGTGAACACCAATCACTCTCTGGGAAGGAATTGGTTTCATTTCATCTTTTTCAAACCAACAGATTTTATTTTATGCATGGTTACTGCAATTCTACCAAGAATCATAATTTTGTTTTAAAAGCTTAAAAAAGAACCCTAAAGCTTATTTCAAAAAATTAAGTGGGCAAGAATATCCAAGAAAAACAATCTGAGAGAAAGAGTTATTAGAAGTTTTAGTTGAATTGTTGCTTTGGTGCTCAGCAGTCAATCTAGGTCTAAGCCCATCAGCCTATGACAGTCCCCTAGCAACTGTAATTTAATCAATGAGTCATCTGGGATGAACAAGTTGATCAGACATATTCTATAATTAGGGGTGAAGTTCCTCTGTAATCTCTTACAGATGAACTCATAAGCTTTTTTTTTGTTGTTCATTTTTAGTTTTGCTGTGCAATTTTTTATTTATTTTATTTTATTAAAGTTATTGGGGTAAAGTGATTAGTAAAATTATATAGGTTTCAAGTGTACATTTCTGTAATAATTGTGTATATAACACATTGTTTACCACCCAGAGTCCATTCTCNGAACTATTTCCCTCATGATTTCAGTACAGATGAAATGAAAAAGGATGGCCTTTCCCCAACTCCTGAGTAATTAATTTAGCCTAATGTGTCTGTTCTAGCATCCAAGTACTGCAATAATAGGCGCCATGCAAATATACAGCCAGCTTAACAGAGATCACTTTATTCAGATAACCTAATTACTCCTTAGTCCACCCAATGTTAACAATGACCTGAAGCTCTCATTCATTTAGACTAATAATAGCTTACATGATATGGCAAGTTTTAGCATTTAATGCACTTTTATATACACTGCGAAGAAGCTAGTACTTAGTGAAACTTATATGACTTTCTTTAATGGTCTGACAAGGCAGGAAGGGTCAGTCAGGATTCAAATGCAAGCCTAGAGACTCCAAGTCTAGATCTCCTTAAAGAACATGAGGGCTTATGTAATCAGTTTTTCAGGTCCTTACAGTTATAGGAGAAATCTACAGCTTTGGTTACAGTAAGAATGTTATCTGGCTCAAACCCTCAACCAGATTTGATAAGACTGGGGAGCCACTGCTACCTCTCATGAAAGGCTTGGTTCCTTTTGCAAAACACCCTTCAGTCTGCTTTCTCTGGTGAGAGTTCAGGGATCACTCATTTGATGTAACACTAGCTCCGGGGCTCTCATGGGATTTAGCCTCTTCAGGAAGCCTTTCATTCAACAAACATGTATTAAGCATGTTTTAGGAGCTTAGCACTGTGCAGAGAACAGGGAACATAATCAGGAAAAAGAAAAAAAGATTTCCATGCCTTCTTTGAGCTTACAGTATAGTGGGAGATTCAGAAAAGCTCAACAAGATAGGATGCACTGGATGTGGGATATCTGGATACTTCAGGGTGAGATGGAGGCATAAACAGCCAAACCAGACTGGCGTTGTCAGGGAAGGCTTCTTGGAGGAGGAAACCTCTAAGTTGATCCATAAAGGATGAGTAAGTTAGGTGGGTAAATGGACATAAGATGGAGGGAAGTTTTCTGTCAAGAGGGAGCACACTGTGTGAAGGCTTGGAGCTGGGGAGCATCACGAGACCAAGTGTTGTTTACTCGTAGAGTGCCTGATGCCACCATAGCCCCTCATGCCTCTGTATCCTCTCCCCATTTTAAGCCTGATCTTCCTGCCATTCTGGCTTCTACCCTTTCTGGCTCCCACCCTGTTCCCTGATGCAGGTAACCCCTTCTACCTGCTTCTGCCCCTTTATTTGCAAGCAAAGGAAAGCTGTGGTCGGCAGAATAATAACTTCCCTAAAGATGTCCATGTCATCTCCTTACAAGTTATAGGTCTATTCAGATTTCCTATTTCTTTGTGATGTAGTCTTGGTACATTTTGTGTTTCGAGGATCTGTCCATNCTCTTACCCTCTGGTAACCACTAAACTGTTGTCTGTGTCTGAGTTTTTGCTTCTTTGTCATATTACTTTGTTGTTTTCAGTTTTATATCCCACATATGAGTGAAATCATATGGTTCTTGACTTTTTCTGTCTGGCTTATTTTGCATAACATGATAATATCAAGATCCATCCATGTTGTCACAAATGGCACTATTTTATCTTTTCTTATGGCAGAATAGTATTTCATTGTGTGTATATATACACCACATCTTCTTTATCCAATCATCTATTGAAGGCCACTTTGGTTGTTTCCATGTCTTGGCCACTGTAAATAATGCTGCAATAAACATCAAGGTACATAAATCTTTATGGATAAATGTTTTCAGGTTTTTTGGCTAGATATCCAAGAGAGGGGTTGCTAGGTCATATGGTAGTTCTATTTTTAATTTTCTGAGAAACCTCTATACTGTTACCCATAGTGGCTGTGCCAATTTATATTCCCACCAACCGTGTATGAGAGTTCTTTTTTCTCCACAGCCTCTCCAACATTAAAATATACATAAAATTGGCCATCCTAACCATTTTTAGGTGTACAGTTCATAGTGTTAAGCACGTTCAGTATTGTGCATCCAATCTCCAGAACTCTTTTCATCTTGCAAAACTGAAACTCTATGCCCATTAAACAACTCCCATTCCATGTCTTGTAGTTCTGGCAATATAAAACTGTTTCTAGTTTTATTGATGAAATTTCTTTTAGTTATACACAGCACTGATGTGACCTTACAAGTGATCCATGACATCTTTCCTATCTTGCGCCCACACTGCAGCAGGAAGCGTCATTCTGAGTGTGAAATCTCCTGAGTGACTATCACGAAGCCTATGTGCTATAGCCAGATGGGTTTTCTGACATTTTGACATTAGATACAAGACGTTCGACGTCTCCTTAAATATTATGAATTCTTTCTTCATTTTATAGATTTAATGAGGTCCACCATCTCTGCCAACAAAGATAGTGATGACAAGGATGCTTGCTGTATTGTTACTCACTAAATGTTTTGTAAGGTAGCACATTGCCCCAAAACGTTAAATAAATTGCAGTTGCAGCATCAAAGATTACCTCCACTGCTAAAACCCTGGTATTAGAAAAGTAAAATGGCATGGAAATATGTTCATTCTATATTGTTGAGTNATCTGTGTTTTTAAGCAAAATGGTTATATTTTATCAAACTAATATATAAAATACTAGAGAAATGAAATCATAAATCAATTATTTTATTTATGTTATTTTGCCATTTAAAAAACAGTTGATTTAGAAATGCTAAATAGCCAGAGATATTTTACTGACTTAAAAACCCAGAATATTTTCACTTTATATTTCACAATACCTGATCATTTTGGATCCTTAAGTTTTCACTTTCAATCCTTTTAATTCTGTGCTTTTCATGTAAATACACATTTTTCTTTTCTAACCAGTCCTGCGAAAACAAGAAAAAAGCTGTATGATATTCAAAGTTTCCCAAATGATTTTGAATTTTTATCTATTTCTGAAATATTTGATTAAAACTTTAAAAAAGGAAAACACAAAATTTATAAATTCTATATAAACTAGTATCATTTTTTCTGATAATATTCTAACATATGAAGATGAGCAAAAATTAAGAAAATTATATGTATGTTGTCTTTTTTAGTATTAACAGACTTCAAAGACTGAATATAATGGCTACATATATTAATGTTTTTCTTTGAAATTCACATGTACAGTTTTCGAAAGTATATTATTTTGTATAACAAACAAGACAAAAAAAATGACCTCTTTTGGAATTGTGAAAAAAGTAGGAAAGTCTTTTTCTGTGTAAGCCTAATTCAAATACAAAGTATCAGGAAAGAAAAATTTAAACTCTCCTTTCAAAACAATACAAACTTTAAAAGAGAAAGTGTTAATATAGTAATATATATACACACATACACATACATATGCATACCGAGGGTGCCAAAAAATGTATACCCATGACTTGTATTCATATTTTGTTATTGGTATATATTGAATATTACAATTTTAATAATTTTTTTT